GGGGATCACCAAGTCAGAGAAAGGCTGAGCTGCAGGGCATGAGGTGACATGGGCACAGAACAGGGAGACTGTCTTGGAGATGGCGATTCATAAATTAGAGGTCACTAGGTGGGAGGATGCTGAAGCTCGGGTCGTGGGACCCCCTCACCTGGAGGCGGAGGCGGCGGGGTGAGTCCCCGAAGGGCTGCAGAGAGCCATCAGCAGTAGAGGTGAGTCGAGTGAGGCAGAGCAGGAAGTCAGGAGGGAAGCTGTATTGTGGGTGCAGCAGAGGGAAGGCTCTCTCCAGGAGCTGTGCCCAGAAATCCGCCAAGGTGTCCTCCAACCCCTCGCCAGACTTCTCATAGTAGTCCCGCAGGCCAGAGAACAGACTATTGAAGATGATGGCGTGCTGGGAATACAGGCGACCATAGGAATGCGAGAAGAGCTGGGCCAAAGAATGCTGGGATATGGACAGCATCTCCCGAAAAAACTCTAACACGGGTGGCCGGATGGGGAGAGGGAATAGAGAGGGAGAGCAGAGGAAGGGCAGAGACAGGAGAGGGAACGAGGAGAAGAAGAGGCAAAAGAATTAGAAAACCGAGCAAGTCGGAGAGCTGGCAGGCTAGGGACTGGAGAGAATGTGGAGTGGGAACTGGAGACAGGCATGGCCAGGCAGTTGTGGGGAGTTCTGGGGTGTTTGGTGGGCAGCCTTAGCCTGCAGGAGGTGGGGACAGGAAGCTGGGTGGGAACTATCAGCATAAAGAGGTCTGAAGCACATCTGGGGACCCCCAAAGGTCCTCACCATTAAACTTTCTATGCCGGGCAGCCAGTGTGTGAATCAGGAAGGAGCCACTGTCCTCCACCAGGCCACGGAAGGTGACCTCAGCATCCCTGATCAACTTCTGCTCTGTCTCACTGGAACAGCAGGTGTACTCCTGGGGACAGATCTGAAGGTGCTCACCTGGGCAGAGGAAACAGTGGATGATAGCAAGAAGGGACATTATGAATTTCCTTCCATCTCCCACCTGTCTCTGGGGGCTGATCATTCTCTTCCACCTGCCCGGTCGCTTTTCCCTTTGTCTGCCCCTTCAGCCCTACCTGAACCCTCCTTTATTGTCTGTCCCTCACCCATGCCAAATTCACCCCTATTTGTCATGGGATCGTCTATTTGACAGCTGCCTTGAGGGCCAAATTAGTGACCAGAGTGTCTTCAGGTGACCCTCCCCAACACGGCACACCCCACGCCTCCGAGGATTTATGGGACAGCTATGGGATGAAGAATGGGGTTTGTAGGGGTGGTGCTACTTGGTGAGCAAGAAAGTATTATCAAAAAAGAAGCTCACAGAAATTGCAAGGGAATTCCTGGCTGCTAAGAAAGACACTAACGGGTGGGCTAATTACAGAGAGGGGAATTCCTTGGGCGGGGATTGAGTGAGCGCTATTATGTGAGCAGCAGGATTATTGTGATCCTGGTAAGGAGGTTACAGGAGGAGGAGGAGAAGAAAGATGCCTAGGAGGTGAAACAATTATCAGAATGGTCACTGAAAGGAAAAAGTCATTGTGAGATGGGGAGGACCCGTGCCCGCCCCCTCCCACCCCGGACTCTTTCGGTCTTCCTCTTTCTTCTCACCTGAGATGAGGGAGGGAGGGATTAGGTTTAAGCTATATCCCCGGGCTCCCAGCACCTGCCGAGTCTCTGCACAACTCCGGACGACCTTTGCCTCACTCCCAGGTCCCGGACCAGGACCGGGACACAGAGGGAGCATCAAAAGCAGGAGAGGACGCAGGGCGGACATAGCTGCTCTCCTCCCTGGGACGGGGCAAAGTGGGTCCTAAGGAGAAAAGAGGACTCCACGGAACTCTAGAATTCCTTTCTCGGCCGCGGGACGTCTCGAAGAAAAGAGAAAGAGCGTGCCCCCCCCCAAAACTGAACAACCCCAGCACGATAGCTGGACCAGGCGGCATCTGCGGAGACAATGGGAGCCAGGGAGCGGGACAGGGGGCGGGGCCCGAAGCGGGGGCTCGCCAATGATAAGAGGAAACCGGCCTCGGGGGCGGGGCCAGGGTAGAAATGAAGCCAATGTGGAAGGGGACCTCGGCAGGGGGCGGAGCGTGGCCGCACGGCGGAGGTTGGTGAGGTAGGGGGAGGTGGCTTTGAGAGGGGGCGTGGCTCTCTTGCTCGAAAGGCGGGGCTTGCGTGAAACTGAGCCTATTGCAATTGAGAAGCCGGGCCGGAGGCAGGCGCTGAACGCCCAGCCAATGAAGGGGGAGACATAAGGGAAAGGGGGCGTGGCCAGGGTGGAGCGACCCGCACGCGCTCGAGCCCACGTGACTGGGATGCATGCCTCATGCCTGGTGGCTGCTCGAAGCCCGAGCCTGCTGTGTGACTGGAACGTGTCTAGCACGAGCTCGCGCTCTCCCAAGTCTCGCGACACTCCCCAGCCGCGCGAAGCCCAGTTTGATCTCGCGCCTGCGCACGGCGAATCTCGTGCCTTCCCGCGTTTTTTCTAGGCTTTACCCGCCCGCCATCGCAGGAGGTAAAGCCGCCAGTGGCGGGGCGTCCCTGTCACAGGTGGGATGTCCACTGAGACCTGAAGGAACCCCGGAGGTGGTGACCTTTCCTCAACTGTGTTCGTCTAGAGTCACTCTTCCGAGCTCCAACAGTGAGGTGGCCCCTTTGAAGCACGAGTAGGCCGCGTTCCGACCCTCCCGCCTGCCCGCCCTGCCCCTCCGTCCTCTGTGCCTCTGTGGTGGCTGCTATGGCAGCCGAGAATCCCATCCTCTGACCCGGAGAGACGGGTAGTCTCCCAAACGGGAGACCCCCCCCCTCAGCTCGAATAAGCCTCCTGGGGTTGGCCTTAGACCGCGCTGTCTGGAAATAGAGAAGCCAGTTCGAAGGGCCCCCTCTACCTCCAAATCATTCCTCGTCTCCCGTTCCCTGTGTAACCGGGAAATGGTTTCCAGAAAAGGAACTCTGAGGTGCTCTGCTGGGTTTGTTTTTGGAGGCCAAGCTTCATTCTCTTATACCAGCCAGTGTGCCCTCACCCCCCACCCCCATCCCCACCCCAACCCCCGCTCCTATGGAAGGGATTCATGCCTGAAGCTGCTCTGGTGTGTAAATCCTCTAGCCTATTTCATTTATTTATTTATTTATTTATTTATTTATTTATTTATTTGCTTACTTACTTATTCATTCATTCATTCATTCATTCATTCATTTATTTTATTTGCCTATACTGGAGATTGGACCCAGAGTCTTGAACGTGTTGGACAAGCCTTCTACCACTCAACTGTAATCCCCAGCCCTCTTTTTTCCTGTTTATTTTAAGATAAGGTCTCACTAAATTGCCCAGGGTGGTCTGGAATGGATTCCATAACCCAGGCTGGCTTGGAATTTGGTGACCTTCCTGCCTCAGCCTGCCGGGTAGCTGGGATTACCGGCCCTGTTTGCCAAACCCTGAGGAAGTCGTGACCTTAATACCTCACCGTGGTTAGGTTGCCTCTTTGTATTGTTTCTGGTCCCCTCTGGGGGCGGGGGGGGGGGGCGCTAGGACCATATCCTAGGTGAGAAAGGTGATGGTCATGGCAGGGATGGAGTAGTTGTGGTAGAAACACACTTTCCTCTTTTCTCCTACAGCTGGATTAACATGCCTACTCTGTGGTCACCCTCCTCTCAGCTTCATGACTCCTCCTCAGACAGTGTGCTCTCCCCACGTCAAAAGTCTGTGGGAAGTGCACAGATGGCCTTGTCTCCTTGTTCCTCCACCAGCCTGTCCTGTGATGACAGGAACTCACAGGATACTGCAGAGTGGTGAGTGCAGTCGGTGAGGGAGAGGTTGTTGCCTTTGGGGGCCCCTCCTGTATCCCCAGCAGCTTTCCCCTCTGTTGCTTTCTATAGTATGTGTGGGGCTGTATGAAAACAGCACAAAGACTGCACTGAAAGCTGAATGTGGTGGGACACACCTGTAATCCCAGAACTTGGGCTGTGGAGGCAGGAGGATCAAGAGGTTAAGGACAGCTGCATAGTGAGTTCAAGCTAGCCTGGACTGCATGAGACTCTGCTTTAAAACAGTATATAAAAATGAACCAAACAACCAATGAGACTCTGCTTTAAAACAACATATAAAAATCAACCAACCAACCAAACAAACAAACAAAAAAATGGAAGGCAGGGAAGGGGAAAAGAGAAGAGAGGAAGGGAGGAAATGCTGTACTGGTTCAGACTGGAGGCTCCTCCCAGCTCTGCTGACTGGTTCTTAGCTCTCTTACATCTTATAAACATCAAGACTAGCACATCATAATTGTAAGTTCAAAGGGCCAGCCTGGGCTACCCTGAAAACAAGAATAGAGTACATGTCTAGTTTTGAATTCATCTTGCTACCTAAACCTATCTTGAACATGTAACAGTGCTTAGCACATGATAGTTGCTAAGTGGAATGAGGGACTGAGACACTGTATAAATAAAGAGTACTTAATTTGTTGCTTGAGAATTTGTAGGTATTTTTTAGTGTCCTATAGTTCTGTTTGAGATTTTTAAAACAGATCCATGATCCTTATAGCTTTATGTGTTCATTCTGTGAAGATTATAATAGCATATCATGTTTTTGTAATCTTTCCAGGAAAAAATAATCACACATACCATTATCTTTCTTCCATTTGTTTTAATTGGCCTTCTCTGAATCATTTCTGTTTCTGCCAGTGCTATTATTGAGGACTAGATTATGTCAGCACTATAAACTTGAATCACTAAGGTTATGTTTCAAGGATGAACTAGGTACACACTCATCTACTTATGTATGAGTGATAAGTTATTCCTCAGCCAGGTTGATTTTTCTGCACACAGAGTAGTAATCTGAATATGCCTGTGAATACAAATTGTCTCATTCACCCGTTTCAGTTCCTCATTCTTAAAAAAAAGATAAGTACAATTTATTTAGGTGTATATGTACATATTGGCATTCCACAAACATATACATGTAGGTCAGAGGGTAACTTTCAGGAATCAGTTTTCTCTTTCCATCATGGGGTTCCAGGAGCTGAACTCTGGTCATCAGGCTTTGGTGGTAAGTGCTCTTACTCGCTGAGCCATCTCACCTGCTTTTAGTTACTCATTTTTTCATCTCCACTGCTTTGAAGTGATTTTTTCTTGCCCCTTATTTCTTAAAATTTGAAGTTAGAGATAAATAGAAATTATAGATAACTCTTTTTTTGTTGTTGTTTTTTTGAAACAGAGTTTCTCTGTGTAGCTCTGGCTGTCCCAGATCTCACTCTGTAGACCAGGCTGGCCTCGAACTCACAGAGATCCGCCTGGCTCTGCCTCCCGAGTGCTGGGATTAAAGGCATGCGCCACCACTGCCCGGCTATATTTAACTGTTTATGTGGAAGAAATGGGGTGATACAAGGGAAATCATACTCTCTTAATAGGGATAGTCCGTCTGTGTCAACTAATGAAGACAGTGACTTTGAAGACAGCTCAAGACGCAATGTGAAGAAGAGAGCAGCGAAACGACCACCCAGAGCTGCCCCAGTGAGTCTGTTTTAATTAATTTAGAACCTAGTCGGGGAATCAGCAAAGAAAGATCTGGAAGGGACTCAGGTGATGGAATGGAAGAAAAGAGAACATTAGGATGGAGAGGTGCCGGAATTCTTTACAAGGAAAAAAGGTTAGTAATAACAAACTTCACAACAATAAAAAAATCAGTTACTTAAGTTCTGAAACAATAATGGAAGCATAGCTGTGTAATTGGCAGCTTAAGGCTACTTAAGATGATAATGATAAAATCAAATGTTAGCATTATTCTTATAGCTTTTGTATGCCTAATATTTCTACACTTAATAGGTGGCAAAGCATCGGAAGAAGCGGTCCCGAATAGTACGTAGTGGGAATGGCAAGAATGAATCAGTGCTGCCAACCAATGATCTCTTTGATGCTGTGAAAGCTGCCAAATGTGACATGCAGGTAAAGAAGTGTCTCCCCTCTGCTCCTCTTCCTCTTAACATCAATAAGAAATGTTCCTTATTTTGCCAATATGTACTTCACGGAAATTTAACCAATTTGTATTTGTTATCATTATTGATATATTTATATCCAACTTTATATTATCTTTTCTGTCTTCTCTCCTTTTACATGCTTCATTTTGGATGTCTTCCAAAGGACCTTAATATATTTAAGTACAACTGTCTCCTCCAACATACATACTGTCATATTGTTTGTCTATTTCCCTTCCTCAACAAATCAGATCTTATTTTATATAGTGTTTGTTTATATATGCCTACATTTTTTTCAAGTTTTTGTTTGTTATTCCTTCTTGAATCTCAAATATTCTGTAAAGAATCATTCTCTTTTATCTCCAGATTATCCTTTAAGAGGGTTTTATTAATAAAGCATTATATATTTTGCTTGTATAAAAATGTACTTGTTTATTAAAAACTTTTTACTACATAGAGAATCTTATAAATTAGTTTTTGAGACAGAGTATGACTATATAGGCCTAGCTAGACTGGAATTATGTATATTAGGCTGGCTTGGAACTTGCAGAGCTATACCTGCTTGTGCCTCACGAGTGCTGCGATTAAATGTGTATTCTACTCCACCCCAGAAACACCTTTTAAGGGTCCCATTCTAGCCCAGGCTGGCTTGTAATTGACTCTATATCCCATTCTGGTCTCAGACACAGAGAAATCCTCCTGCCTTAGCCTCCCAAGTGCTGAGGATACAGGCATGAGCCACTACCCTGGCTAGACTAGGTATCCTGAGATGATACATTTTTCTTTAGCATATTAAAAATACTATTCCCATTGCTTTTTGCCTTTCCTGTTGCTACTGAAAATCAGATATCATTAATTTAACACTGATCAATACAGTATTTTGGGGCTGGTGGGATGGCTTAGTGGGTAAAGCACTTGCCACTTAAGCCTGGTAACTGAGTTCAGTTCCCAGAGCCATGTAAATGTGGAAGAGAATCAGCTCCTGAAAGCTGTCATCTGACCTCCACATTTGTGATGTGCTCACACTCATACACACATCATATACACCCACAATGGTAAATAAAAACTTTAAATACAGAATTTTATAGTGGTGCTACATATCAGTGCTTCTAGTACAGTATCCACTAGCTATGTGTGATTGTTGAGCTTTTGAAATATAGTTTATACAACTAAGAATTTAATAATCTTATATGATTCAAGGCCATTATATTTGCATAGTTCTTATTTGTAAATGTTTTAGTTTGTAAAATGTTAAATGTATGGTCTTTGTAAATGATTCTTTTCTACTGTTTTGAAAATTTTCTTGGTTGTGTGTTCTGATGTCTTACAGGTTGTTTAAAGGTTAAGTTTCTTTTTTATTTGTTATGCTAGAGATCCACTAGCTTCCTGGATCTTAGAATTGATGTCGTTCAACAAGTATGGAAAATTCTTTTCAGATACTGCCCTTTCTTCTTTTTATTGTATTATAGAATTCAGTTAGATCTTAGAACTTTTCAGTCTCTTCTCTGATCCCTTTAATACTTCTTGGACTTCCATCTGTCAGCCTCTCTGAGTTGCATTTTGGACACTTTCATTGATTCAGCTCACCATTTGTTCTTCTGTGTAATTCATCCAGTGATGTTACCTGTAATCCATCCAGAGAAGTTTGTGTTTTTGTTAGATTAAAAAAATTTTTTTTTTATTTTATGTGTGCGCACCGTGAATATGTAATGCCCTGGAAATCCAGAGGAAGGCACCAGATCCTCTGGAACTGGAGTTAATGGGTGTTTGTGAGCCACTGTGTGCTGGGAACCAACCCTAGGCCCGCTGCAAGAGCAGCAAGTGCTCTTAACTGCCAAGCCATCTCTCCAGCCATGTGCAGTAAACTTTTACATTTTATTGTATTTCTCACAAATTTCTGCAAAGTTAACTCATTTTCAAATTTGACTGTATTTTTCTATTTTTATATGTATATTGCTTTAATCATATTGAAACAACCATTTTATATTTGGTGATACCTTCAATCTCATAACTGGATGCTTATAATTCTGTTGTCTGTCTGTTTTATGATTATTTCTTTAAATGCCTTCTTTCCTCATATGTTTTACTGGGTTTCTACTATGATCTAGTCATTTTCTCCAGAACTCTCTGTGTTAGAACTCTTTGGGTAAGGATCAAAGATGTGCTTGTAAGAGAGGAACCAGTGTTTGTTTCTAACATGGGAACACTTCTGAATATTTTTGCTGTTGTTGTGTTGAGGCAGAGTATCACATAGCCCAGACTTGACTTCAAACTCACCGTGAAGCTGTGGATGGCCTTGAATTCCTGATCCTTCTGCCTCCACCTCCCAAATACTGCAATTAGAAATGTTCACTACCATATCCAGCTGAGAATCACTTTTAATTAAGTTCTGTACCTGAGATTATTCTGGTCATACAGGTAGTAAGAATCTGGATGATAAGTCTGGTCCTAAGGGCTAAGTATGGTTATTTTTTTTTTTTTAGGAGAGATTCACTTTTCCTCTCTAACGATGCTATAGAATATGTTCTCTTGCTCTTCCCAATGGCCGAGTAGATTCATTTCCCATTTGAAAATGATTCTTCTTTTTCAAAGAATACAGCTGTAGGATTCAGCCTTATATGGGAGCCTTTTCTTGGACGGCTCTTCTTGGAATGATTATCTTAGGCTCTGTTTCCTATGCTGTGCATTCCATATAGCTATTTTGTTTAGTGAAACCCTTCCACCAAAAGTCAGCTTCCTACTTCCAGAATTGCTGCTTTCTCATTTTTGACCTATGTGAGGTTCTATCTTCCATTCTAGTTCAGCAATATGTTTAAAAGAGGTTTGTAATTTTTAATAAGAAATTTGCATATTTCACTTGGGAAGATCAAATAGGACAATCTGTTCTGTCATATTGTTGGAATTGAAATCATCCACACTTTTCTCCTAGTCTTTGGTGGATGAGTGGCTAGAAAACTACAAGCAAGATGAAAATGCAGGATTCTTGGAGCTCGTTAATTTTTTCATCCGATCCTGTGGATGTAAAAGTGAGGAAACTTGCCTACCTCTTCCTGATCCCTACCCTTCATGTTTAAAACTTTCCTTCTGCTTATGAGTACAGTTGAAATTGTCTAAGTAAAGAAGGTAAGACGAGAGCTAGCTTACTTAACTACACTTTTGATGTGTAAGTATTGGAAATAATTTAGTAGGGAACTATGTTGATTTTGAATCACAACCTTTTGGTGGAAAAGAATCTTGCTTTGGCCATGATAATGATAGGCACAGATTTAAAACTGGACTATCATACCCTTGGAGGCTTTTTCATTTTATTTTTTTTCTGAGATGGGGCTTTGATCCTGAAGCAATCCTCCTGCCTCACTCAATCTTCTGAGTACTGGGATTACAGGTATGCACATGACATCAAGTGCTTTTAGTCTTTGTATATGAAGCAATCTATTACTTGTTTCTATTTATCAACCATTTCACCTGTATTTTTCCTCAGCCTCTGGAGTGCTGGAATTGCAGGTGTGCACAAAACACTGAGTGACTTTTAGTCTTTATAGATGAGATAGTCTATTATTATTTTTCAGCCATTATGTTTTCTGTCTGATGCTGTGGAGCCCCTAAACTCTACATGCCAAGGCTTAGTTTATTGTGCCAGGGAGCATCAACTTGTTTTTATAAGATTTCATCATCTGGCCTAGTCTTTTTTTCTCTGTTTGTTTGGGGGAATTTTTTTAAACCATAGTTTTTCACTACATAATTCATTTATGTTTTTCAGAAGTTATTTCATAGCAGATGTACAAATGAATGGTGACAGGCTCATGAGTAGGGTGGATTCAAGTTGTCTGATTGCTCCCTAAGCTCGTCTCAATATTTCCTCTAGTTCATCCTCAGATGTATCTGTGTCTTATTATTTTCTTTTTATGTCTTGTCTCCTTCAATTTCCAGGCACTGTAACTCCTGAGATGTTCAAGATGATGTCCAACTCAGAGATCATCCAGCACCTAACAGAACAGTTTAATGAGGTGAAGGAAGCCAATCAGGATCACTTGCTCCTCTTAGTCTGAATTCAAAACCCAAGGCTCATTGCCCCTTTATTTCTGATTCTGGGAAATAGCTTTTATAAGGAAGAGTTCTATCTTTTTTAAAATAAAAGGGACTTACAGAATTTAGCTGGCATGCCTTTGGGACTGGGTGATATTCCACAATGAAGTATATAGAGTTACATTTTCACTGTGCTGTTGGGTTTTGACCTTCAAATCCCTGGACTTTCATGGACCTAGTAATTTTCCTATTCTTTCCATAAACCCTTTTGTAGGACTCAGGGGACTATCCCCTAATGGCTCCAGGCCCATCCTGGAAGAAGTTTCAGGGAAGCTTCTGTGAGTTTGTGAAGACATTGGTCTATCAGTGCCAGTACAGCCTCCTCTATGATGGCTTTCCTATGGATGACCTTATCTCCCTGCTCGTTGGCCTCTCAGATTCCCAAGTCCGCGCCTTCCGTCATACTAGTACCCTGGCTGGTGAGCACTCACACAACTCAGTGGGCTCTCCTGAGATTAATGAGGTGGAGGAAGCTTTTATTCCATGTTCTGGGTTTTCTTCCCCACCTGCATCAATGCTAATCAGTACCTTGTTGCTTGTATCCTAGACCTTCCTTCTGCTTCCCACTAGTGGATGTAGGAAAGGGGGAGACCACAGTAATGATTCCCAGTTTTTCTATCTTCTCAGAGCATACCCCTGGGGCATAAAAGAAGGCCAAAAGATGTTTCAGGAGAGAGCCATTTCAGGACAGGAAACCTTAGGACTGAAGGGTCACCCTGCTTTTTGTTTTCTTTATCCTTTGCCCTTTTGTTTTTGCACTCATGCTCTCTCTTCTGACTTGAACAATGGCTTCCTTGTTTCCTCTGACTCAAAGCCATGAAGCTAATGACTTCTCTGGTAAGAGTTGCTCTCCAATTGAGTCTGCACAAAGACAACAATCAGCGTCAGTATGAGGCTGAACGAAACAAGGGGCCAGAGCGGAGAGCACCGGAGCGACTGGAGAGTCTGCTGGAGAAACTGAAAGAGGTGAGAAAGGTTCCTGGCCCCTTCCCCTCTCTTCCAGCTTTCGTCTTCTGCAGCCCAGACATTATCAGGCTCTATAACTTTTCTCAGTAAGCACAGGCCTCAGGGAGCCTTTCAGATAAAGAAAAATAGGGACTGGCAACAGTTTTCCCGAACTCATCCTATCAGAAGTCATTGTGTATTCCTCTTGGTTTGGGACATAGACTCACAATGTTTAATTTGTAGAAATGTTAGAGTTTTCTGTATTTCCCTTTTATTCCATTTCCATTGGTCTGCAAGCATTATCAGCAGTGTTTAGATGTTATACTGGCATGCCAAGTTAAATTTGAACTTCATGTTAAATGTACAGTGCAGGTTATCATAGGGATGCTTAAAAACAACAAATGATAAGGGAGGCTAAGTTATTGGGAAATGGAAAGAGCACAAACCTTCCAGTCACACCTAGATACAAATTTTATCCTGGTAGTTGTTATAGAGGGCCTTATGTAGCTTCTAAAACTTGAGTTTCCTTTTCTTTAAAAAGAGTCATAATTCTTGTGGGAGGAATTGGGAGAAGGGAAAGAATATGACCAAAATATATTGTACAAAAAATATAAAAAAATTAAAAATAATTAAAGAGGTAATTCTTTCTACCTTCTAATCAATGTAAATAAGATAAGGATCGAATTGGCTACCCAGACACACAGTAAGTTTGTTTTGTTTTCCTTTTGGTAGGCTTTTCATCACTCTGACAGATACCTGAGAGGAACAGTTCAAAGAGGGAAGATTTTATCCTGGCTCATAGTTTCAGAGGTTTCAGTCAGTGTTCAGGTGGTTCCATGGCTTTGTGCCTGTGGTGAGGCTGACTATTAAAGCCTAGAGGTTATGATGGAGCAGGGCCACTTGCCTCATAGTAGAAGCAGTGAGGGGAGAGAAGGGTCTGGGGACAAGCTATTTCCTTCAAAGACATGACCCCAGTGACCTACATCATCCAGCTAAGTCTGGCTATCTCCTCATAAGTCCATTTAGCTATGAACTCATCTGTGGATTAATCCATTGATGGAGTTAGAACCCTCAGGATTCAGTCACCTCTTAAAAGTTTATCAGCAGGTAACTTACACACACACACACACACACACACACACAAACACACAAATCTTTTGAGGAGGCATTTTTAAACTATAATACCTTTGGCAGACATAAGCCTTGGGAAAATCTTTTAGACTGATTAAACTTCCAATAGCAGTGTTTGGGTCAAACACTGATATATCTGTCTTCTACTCCTTGCTAGTATCTGACTCTCCTCCACCTTGAGGTTGGTAGGACATACCATGTCTAACTATATCTATTGATGATTTTCCCAGTCCTCATAAAAAACAATTACTTCTCTGCTGTGCCAAAAGAGAAGGAAATAATTATTACAGTGTGCGTCTGTGTTTCTTAATTCTCACTTGTTCTCTTTTGCTATGGCACTGAGAATTGAATCCAAGGCCTTAGATCTGCCAAGTAGGCACTGTCACTGAACTGTATCAGCCTGAGAAGCAAAACTTTGTGTTACTCCATTCTCATGTGCTGTTTTTCATTGTTAGGATGATATAGATAATAATGTGTCATAGACCCACATTAGATCTGCAGGTGAGTTTTCTGTGGTTTCAGTTTCCCACAGTCAACAAAGGATCAAAAATCTCCAAAGTAGCTGGCCATGGTAGCACATGCCTTTAACCCTAGCACTCAGGAGGCAGAGGCAGGAAGATCTCTGTGAGCTCCAAGCCAGCCAGGCTGAATAATGAGGCCTTGTCTCAAAAACAAAAAGAATCCCAAAGTACAGTATGACTATTTTGAGAGAAGGGGAGGGGTGAGAGAAAGAGAGAGACCAAAGTTCACATAACATTATTCCAACATTGTTTCTCTGTGTAATTTACAAACTAGTTTCTCATAGGTGTACACACACATAGAAACACATAATACATTTTGAGCATCCTTAATCCAAAATGTAAATTCTAAAATGCTCTGCAAAACTTTTTGAGCACCAATATGACACTCAGAAGTTTTTTTCATTTTAGAGTGTATTTCAGATTTGGACTTGGAAACTGTGTTTCCAATGAGTAAAGTCTGTATAAATGTTCCAAAATCCAAAAACTAAAATCTGTATCACCAATTGTCCCGAGAATTTTATATAAAGATATATTCAACCTATGTGGATGGTTTTGATACTGTCTGTAGTTTAAACATTGCTTGAAAGTTTTGGTGTCTACTCCCTGTGAAAAGGGGGAGCTGCACTAGTGTGGGTCTTTGTTTTCATTTTCTGGACTAAGTTGTCATTCTCCCACTTTAGTCTCCCGACCATACTGTTTTCTTCTGTTCATTTGTGAATGTGTATCAACCCTTTAGTCCACTTTTCTGTAATATACTTTATTTTACTTTATAGTATTTCCTTACTTCCTTGATTTCCCACTGAATGGGACAGTACCTAGATTTTAGCTCTGTTTTTTCAAAATTTCTCTCCAAACAAGTGCATCTTGTCACCAGTGGTCTTTTCTCAGTTTCCCTTTTGTAGATGTCTGTAAAATTTGGTACTGATTATCTTTTAAATGTGAAAAACTTAAGATGTTATAGAACTTGATTATAATGAATACCATATACACAGTGCATTCCATAAACAATATTTCATTAGCTTATCTGTTTTGATAGCTTATAGTAAGTTATGGACATAGTAGTTCTTCAGCCCTAAAGGTTTAAGTATACCCTCTTAAAAGTAACATGTCTTTGTTACTCAATACCATTTTTTTCCGTCCCCAAAAGTCCTTTCTAACTAATCCAGGACTTAAGTAAGGATATTTGATGATGGTGTTTCTGGAGCCTCTTTTATTATTCTCTTCCTTCGAATAGGATCTTGTCTATGTAGGCTAGGCTGGCTTCAAACTCCTGGCTTCCTGAGCTAGAATTAGAGGTATGCACTAACACCTGACTTCCTCTTTTAATCTTACACAGAGTGTCTGCTTCCTCAGATTTCCCCCAATATATTGACATATTGAAGAAATGGGATTAGTTGATTCAAAGATGTTTTCTCCTTATAATTCTACTTACCCAGTATGTAGTTCATTTAGTCAAGGGTTTCTCAGCCATGGCATTATTGATGCTGGGAAACTGTCCTGGCTGTGTATTCTGTTAGCACTGTTCCCTTGCCTCTGTCTACTAGATTCCAGTAATGCCCAGCCTGACAACCAAAACTTTAAAAAATATTGATTTAAAAAGTCTTAATTTTTTGAGAATTTTATACAGTGCATTTTGATCATATTCACCCCTCCCCAACTCCTCCACCCCACTACTCTATACATTCAACTTTGTCCTCTCTTTTTCTTTTTCATCCATTAAGTCCTGTTTGTGCTTCCAATATAATCTTGGGTGTGCGGCCTCCATCAGAGTACAGTTTGTTTACCAGGGGCAACACTCTCAAAGGAAACTGACTCTCCCTTTACCACTAGCTATCAGTTTCTAGTAGCTTCTAGGCTAGGGGTGGGACTTCATGTAAATCTTCTTTTTCCATGCTGGGATTTGGCCTCCCTTGAGCTTGTAAGGGGCTTGTGCATGCTATCAGAATCACTGTGAATTCATATGCAGCCCTGCTGTGTCCACAGGATATTGTTTCCTTGTATTCATCTACCACTTCTGGCTCTTCTACAGTGATACCTGAACCCTGAGAGGAGGGGATTCAGACATTGCCAGATATCTTCTGGGTGCTGTGTTGGGTGTTGGGTTCACACTGGTCCTTGGAAAAAAGAAACAGAGGCACTCTAGGATGAATTTTATAGCCTTTTGAAGCTGCAGGGGAGTCAGCCTCTGGTGAACTGACTTCTTGTAGCCTTGGAATTTTTTTTTATTGTTACTCAGTTACACCTTTTAGCAAGTCAATTTCATATACCAAAACCTCTTATCTAAGCTCCCCAAAGAGACAAATGCCAGAGCAAATTCCCAGCTGCAGGACATCTCAATTTGCTGAGTACCTTCCACAACCAAGTTTTGCATAGGTTTTGAAACTTTAGGAAGCGCTCAGATAAGATTTTCATACTTCAAACAGAAGGTACCAGACACAGAAGGTAGCAGTCACAAAAGGCAGATAAAAGCCAGGTTCTAACACTCAGGAATCAAACCAGCTGTAGAACTTTGCAGGAACTCTTGCTACAGCCACATCTGGGAAACAGAATTGTCCAATTGAAAATTATTGATCCAGTCTCTTTCATCTCTTTTTATTGGTTATACTTTTATCAAAATGCACTTATTAAAAATTCATTTTGAGGCTGGTCAGATCACTCAGTGGGTAAAAACACTTATTTGCAAGCCTGAGTTCATACCTAACACCCACACGGTGGAAAGAGAACTGACTTCTGAAACTGACTTCTACATATATATATAATATATATATATATTATATATATATATTAAATATATATATGCTTCCCCTCAAATGAATACATTCAATACATTTTTTAAAAATTTCATTTCCCCAATTAATAGTAGTCAAAAACAAAACTGTCAGGTATGAATAGAATAACCCCAATCAGAAGGGACTTTTTTTTTTTGAAGATTTGTTATTTATGAAGAGGATGTCAGGTCCTCTGGAGCTGAAGTTACAGGTAATTTTGAGCCATGTGATATGGGTGCTGGGAACTGACCTTGGGTGCTCTGGAAAAGCAGTATGGGGGGGCTGGAGTGATGGCTCAGTGGTTAAGAGCACTGACTGCTCTTCTGGAGGACCAGGGTTCAATTCCCAGCACCCACATGGCAGCTAACAACTGTCTGTAACTCTGAGATCTGACACCCTCACACATCTAGACATGCAGACAAAACAGTAATGCACATAAAATAACGATAAATTATTTAAAAAAAAAAGGAAAAGCAGTATGTGCTCTTAACCACTGAACCATCTCTCCAGTCCTCAGGGACATTATTTTCTATCAAATACAAAGCAACCTTGAGGTATTAGACTACACTGCTTCTTCTGTAATTAGAAGGGAATATAGGATGCCTGAGCGTTCACAATATGTCCTTCAATAAACAGGAAGTGGGTAGATGTTAGATTTTTCTATATCTGTGATGTTATGTTGTTGAGGTACAAGAGGGATAGACTAACCTTGTTCCTTCATCCAGTTCCAAGAGAATCAAGAGGAGATAGAGGGGATGATGAATGCCATCTTCAGAGGTGTTTTTGTCCATCGGTACAGGTGAGTCAGTTATGGGCTCTTACTGAAGCTACTGTCCTTCGTGATAGCATGGGAAATGACAAGGTCCTTTGCAATGCTCAGTTATTTAGTTAGTTCCAGGACTATTTCAGCTGGAGTGAAAACTGACAGATAACAATGAATTTGTTAAGGTCTGGTTTATTCCACCCTGCAAAGGCTCTTGTGAGTTCTTCTGGGAAGGAAAGTCAGAGATCAAGATATTACTGAGTATTTTCCTTCTCTTTACCCTGCCCAAGTCCTGGCCCTGCTTCTGTCTTTGTAGAGTTGGAGACTTGAGCGCACAATGGCAGAGACCTGACAGATGGCTTTCCTGAGGCATGTCTGGCTCAGCAAGCCTTTTTCTAGCCTAGCCTGTGGTTTCACTGTGCTAAGGGTAGGGGAGTTTCATAGTGTTTGAAGAACTGATAGGATTAAATTTTACCTGTTTTAGAATTGGAGTATTTGTAGTATTGTCTCACTTTTGTCTATATTTCAACTTCTGATTCTCCAGAACTTTAATCATTTCTTGAAATGGAATTGAAAAATGGTACATTTTAGTCAACACTTAAGTGAACTTTCAGAATTGGCTTTTAAAGGAGTATGGGGATGTAGTTGTACAAGGTTAAATTATCTTTTATGCTGGTTGTAGAAAGAAGCATTTAATTTCATGTGTTTAGGTTGGAATGTGGAAATGAAAGGCCTAGTACAAACATAACTTCATTGAGAGTGCTATGTGGTAGGCCAAAAAGTAACGTTTGAGAGAAGATAATATGTGAGTTTGTCTCTCTGTCTAGGGACATCCTTCCTGAGATTCGTGCTATCTGCATCGAGGAGATTGGGTGTTGGATGCAAAGCTATAGCACCTCCTTTCTTAATGACAGCTACTTAAAATACATTGGCTGGACCCTGCATGATAAGGTCAGGTTAAATCTACCTCCTTCTCCCTGTTACCTGCTTCTTCTAACCTGTCCTGAACACTTCAGCTTTTCTTGTCTGCCACTCCAACATTGATATAGTGAGGTCATTTCACAGTGATCTCCCCATCAAGGCATTGAACCTTGAGATTACTGCAGTGCTGAGGGAGGTAGGACAAAGCAGGAATGAGAAAAGCATTCAGGAATCAAAATACCTTTGAAACCTTAGATGTCATGGAGAAAGAAGGTGTTCCCTATGAAACAGCAAATTGGTGATGGTAACACAAGTGTCAGAGTGCCAGCCAAAGGGATTCTTTTCATCATAATTGTCTAGTGCTCATAGGAGCCTTTTGCGTTTTCAGTGAGAAATCAGCTCTTTACTGTTTCTTACATCCTGAGAGTCCTTGGTGTAGAGATCACCCATGTCCAGAATGAAGAACAGTGAGGAGCACATGGAGGCTGTGTTGGGATTATTGGTCAGTCATGTTTCCCTTCTCCTGTCCCCTCCTCAACAGCACAAGGACGTCCGCCTAAAGTGTGTGAAGGCTCTGGAAGGGCTGTATAGCAACCAGGAGCTGAGCACACGCATGGAACTCTTTACCAACCGCTTCAAGGTAAGATGAGGACAACATTCCCAGGGTTGGCTCATTGTTATGGTTCCCATTTTCCCACCTCAGGTCTTTCCACCTAGCCTCTCTGGCAGACTGATAGCTATTCTGGATATAGTTCCTGCTCCCTCTGTGTTAGGAGCTTCAGATTTCAGGAGACTGTGATGTTTTGGAATGGATGCAGTGAGAGATTGGATAATGTTCTTTGCACAGGACCGGATGGTTTCCATGGTCATGGACAAAGAGTGTGAAGTGGCAGTGGAGGCTATCAAGTTGCTGACCCTTATCCTGAAGTGAGTTGTGGGAAGTGGGAAGGCAGCCTCACAGACTTGCCTTTGTACCCTCAAAAAAGCCCCTCCAGAGTTCTGTTCCCCACCTGTCACAATTGGCCTTCCTTGTGTGCAGATTGGAAGACAAAGGGCATTCCTGAGTTGTAGGATGGAAGGGTACTTCCCTATCTTTAACTCCCCCACTCTTCACTTAAACATTTTCTGTGAGTCATGTCCATGTAGGTGTTGCCTTATTTTGGTCTACTCCTGGCTATATGAGAGGACTCTCTCTCTCTCTCTCTCTCTCTCTCTCTCTCTCTCTCTCTCTCTCTCTCTCTCTCTCTCTCTCTCTCTCTCACACACACACACACACACACACACACACACACACACTTTCTCCTTTTTATTTTGCAGGAACATGGAGGGAGTGCTGACCAGTGCAGACTGTGAGAAAATCTACTCCATTGTGTACATTTCTAATCGTGCCATGGCCTCTTCTGCAGGGGAGTTTGTGTACTGGAAGTGAGTGGTGTGTGTTTGTCATACTATCCTCTGTCTGTCTGTCTGTCTGTCTGTCTGTCTCTCTCTCTCTCTCTCTCTCTCTCTCTCTCTCTCTCACACACACACACACACACACACACACACACACACACACACACACACTCACTCAGACACACACACTCTTTCTCACCTCTCTGCTCTACCTAGGGACTTAGCAAAATTCTTGAAGTCTCTCTTGTCCCTTTCCTTCCTCAATCTTGTGGGATTTCTGTGGCTCTCCACTTATTCATTTGTCCTCACTTCCTCCCATGCTATGCTCTTTCTATGTATCCATCCTACCAGGATCTTCTATCCTGAGTGTGAGGCAAAATCAGTGGGTAGCAGTGAGCGACGCCGGAGTCCACAAGCCCAGAGGACTTTCATCTGCCTTTTACTGTCCTTCTTTATGGAGAGTGAGGTAATGTAGGGAGGGGATGTAATGCCTATAAGTAGAGGACAAGAGGGGCAGTGGGTAGGAGGGTCCTGCTTACCAACAGCCACTTGCTGGAGTAGTTTGATGTGGCATCAGTGGATAATTTAATGGGAACCTTCTTTCACAGCATCACAACCATGCTGCTTACTTGGTAGACAGCTTGTGGGACTGTGCAGCGTCTTACCTGAAAGACTGGGAGAGTCTGATAAGCCTGCTACTGCAGAAGGACCAGAGTGCGTGCTTCATGGTAGCTGGGGTTGAGTATTTTGAACTTTCTAGTGTGAAACTGAGAGGTTTGGGGTTTTATTTTGTTTTGTTTTGTTTTTTGCCTGACTTGGAAAAAGCGGCAGAGGTGTCCTGGGGAGGGAATGTGGAGATGAAGGATGGCACATCTGTGGTTTTACTTTTGATCCTCTTTCTATCCCAGACCTGGGTGATATGCAGGAGAGAATGCTGATAGAAATCCTTGTGTCCAGTGCCCGGCAAGCTGCCGAGGGTCACCCACCAGTGGGGCGCATCACAGGGAAGAAGGTGGGCCCGAGTGGTGGGTTGTAATTGGTCAGTAGTATTGGAACCAGATGGCTATTGGCCGTCTTCACCTCTACATTCTGTGTTAGGGCCCCGGCCTTCCTCTTTTCCTTCTAAGACTCCCATCTCCATATAAAAGACATCTGAAGGATATGCTGAGTTTTTCTTCCTCATTCGGAGAAGTTCATGGAGCAGAAGTGTGTGCAGATACACCTGCCCTCTGTACCCAGTGTTTCTTCACAGTTTCCCACCCCTAATGACTAATCTTAGGGTCTGACTGCCAAAGAACGCAAGCTTCAAGCTTATGACAAGGTGAAGCTGGCTGAGCACCTCATCCCTGTCTTGCCCCAGCTCCTAGCCAAGGTAAGAGCATCTTGTATAGCCTAGGGTATAAGTGGTTGAGGGACCAACCCCAAGGCAGGATGGGGGAAGGATTTGCCTCTTGTCTCTTAATTAACAAGACACTCTCTCCACTACAGTTCTCAGCAGATGCAGAGAATGTTGCTCCCCTGCTCCGGCTGCTCAGTTACTTTGACCTCAGCATTTACTGCACTCAGCGCTTGGAAAAGGTGAGGAGGCAGCTCATTTTCTAGAACTTGATGCTCCCCTACTTATGTTAAGGGGTTTTCATTGGTTGGTTTGTTTCTGCAAGGCCCTGGGTTCAGAAAGAATCTATAGGCCCATTCTCTGTCTGTCTGTCTGTCTGTCTATCTATCTATCTCATCTATGTATTCATCCATCTCTTATCTATTTATATGTATCTGTCTGTCTACATACCTGCCTACCTACTACGTACCTATCCATCTATTCATCTATTCATCCATTCATCCATCCACCTAATCTTATCCCTAAACATCACTACTTTCATCCTCCTATGTCACTCTTCAGCTTATACTCCACCATACCTTGTCTCCCTCTTAGCACTTGGAGCTGCTTCTGCAACAACTCCAGGAGGTGGTGGTGAAGCATATAGAACCTGAGGTGCTTGAGGCTGCAGCACGTGGCCTCTATCTGCTCTGTAAGCCAGAGTTCACCTTCTTCAGCAGAGTGGACTTTGCCCGAAGCCAACTAGTGGATCTTCTGACCGATAGATTCCAGCAGGAGCTTGATGACCTAATGCAGGTGGTGCTAAACAGCAGGGCACCCCAAGGAGGGTAAGAGAGGGCCAGGATTAATGATGAGTTCTTGAGAAACTCTTGCTGTGAGCCTCTTTGTTCCTCAGTCGTCCTTCCCGGATGAGGATGAGGTATACAGTCTGACAGCCACTCTGAAACGTCTCTCTGCGTTTTACAAGTGAGCAGCTCTCCTGCCCCTTCCCTTTCTTCTAGTATTGATGGAGTTGATTGCCTTGGATGTGTCCCGGCATAACATTCACTTCTGTCTCCTTACAGTGCTCATGACCTGACTCGCTGGGAGATCTCTGAACCATGTTCTCGACTCATCCAGAAGGCTGTAGACACGGGAGAAGTTCCTCACCAGGCAGGTGATGGGCTGGACACACAGAGGCAGGGCAGATGACTCTCAGAACCTGTGTCTTGGAGGCCACCTTGCCCGGGCAGCCCCAGTCCTGGGGTGTGCAGTGGACTAGGGAGGAAGGTTGGGTGGGTTATCATTCTGTTCTTCTCTGAACAGTGCCTGGAAATAGCAATCCTCTTGGTATTCCTAGGAGCCAAGGAGAATGTTGAGGAATTCTAGGAGACTGAATAAACCAAAAAGATGTGACATTTTTGTCTAGGCTAGAAGCCTCTGGACATTGTCCAAAATAATCCCTTCTTTTCCATCAGAAAGGAATTCTGTTTCCCTGGTCTATCTTCTCTTTTCTTTATTGGGATGAGGTTTATTATTGTTTGTTTGATTGAGACAGGGTATCTCTGTGCATCCCTGTCTGTCTTAGAATTTGCTTTGTTGACCAGGCTGGCCTCAGACTCACAGAGATACTCCTGTCTCTGCCTCCTGAGTGCTGGGATTAAAGGCATGTGCTACCACACTCTGGCTTCTCTCTTCTTACTGATTGTGTGTGTGACAGTGCTGACACTTCCTCACTCTTGCTCTCTAGCCCCCTGATTTGACTCAAACCCCATTTTTCTGACATTTGTGGTTACAGGTGATTTTGCCGGCCTTGAGTCTTGTTTATTTTTCCATTCTCTGGACAGTAACGCACATTTCAGAGTCTACTTCCCATGTGAGTGTGGGTTTGAGGAGAGTGGGAATGGAGGAGCCTAAGTCTTCATTCCTCTTTGAAGCAAGCTGCTCTCTTTACAGAGGCAGCTGATGAGTCTGAAGAAAAGAATGGTAGCCTTCTGTGAACTTTGCCAGAGCTGCCTCTCAGATGTAGACCCAGAGATCCAGGAGCAGGTGAGCATGTGTGTCCTGCAGTTTGAGGAGACTGTTCTCCAGAGAAATGAGCTATGGAATTATAGTCTTTGTAAGTATTCTGATTTTTGCAATCATCCTTTTTTTCTCCCCAACAGGCTTTTGTCTTATTGAGTGACTTGCTTCTCATCTTCAGTCCTCAGATGATTGTAGGGGGACGGGATTTCCTTAGGCCCCTTGTCTTTTTTCCGGAAGCTACTCTCCAGTCAGAACTAGCCAGTTTCCTCATGGATCACGTCTTTCTCCAGCCTGGAGAACTGGGCAATGGTACAAGAACTCTAGGCCCAGAGCTTAGGAAGGGTTTGGGCTGAGCCTGGCTACAGTATCTTGGGCAGGAGGCCTAAGCCTGTGACTGGTTCTGTTTTTGCTGGGCAGGTCAGTCTCAGGAGGATCATGTCCAGATAGAGCTTCTGCACCAGCGGCGCCGCCTGCTTGCTGGGTTTTGCAAGCTGCTGCTCTATGGGGTACTGGAGCTAGATGCAGCCTCAGACGTTTTCAAACACTACAACAAGGTAATCAGATCCCCTGACATGAAAGACAAGTTGAACATAGCCCTGGCTTCAGACACTGCAGCATCTAAGAAAGGAAGTCAGTCAAGGATTGAGGACAGTCTGAGGGTATCGGGCTTAAAAGAGAAGTAGGAGAGAACAGCAGTAGGAGTTTAGAAAAAAGGACAAAGAAAAGAGTATGGGGGTGAATACTTAAATAGAAAAGGCTATTGGCTAGGAAATACCTTATTTTTCCAATTAAGAAATCTGTTTTCCCTGCTTTAAACCTAATCTACAGGATGGGATATTCGAGAAAGAAAACAGTGGGGAGAGTCAGGCCTCACAGGATAACCTATGGAATAGCTAGCTCCATTTCCTCAGCCTGCCATTGTATCCCTCTCTATTTACTGAGCACCTGCTGTACACCAGACATGCCAGGTCCTAGGGGAAAGCAATGAGCAGCACAGGAGCTCTTGTACAGAACTCTAGACTGAGGGGAGGGATGTGCAGACTCCATTGGTGTCTAAGGGTGGTACTGGTACACCACCCTTTTTCTCCGACAGTTGGGTTCAACCAATTCCTGCCCTGAGTTTTTTTTCAGTAAATGGTTTCTTTTGGACACTGTACTATTAGAGATGAGGTTTAGTCTGAGTTATTTGTGCTCACATTACTGTTTTCCTACCTTAGGCTCTTTGGGAAGGAGTTATAATTAAGGATGTGAAGGAAGAAACCAAAGAGATTTTTCCTGGTGGTTAATGTTACCTTCTTCACTTCCTCTCCCTCAGTTCTATGAAGACTATGGTGACATTATCAAGGAAACATTAACTCGAGCAAGACAAATTGACCGGTGTCAGTGCTCTCGGATCCTGCTCCTGAGCCTAAAACAGGTAATCTTGTCTAGATACCTTACAACTGTAGCATACTTTTCCTAGATTCCCACCTCATTGTCCAGTCCCAGCATCTCAGAGATGATGCTGCAAGATCTTTAAGGAGAGAAACTTTCTTGACTCATTTCTTGTAGCAGGTTTCTTCACACCTCATAGACCCTGTCTTAGTCATTGTTTTATTGCTGTGAAGAGAAACCATGACCAAGGCAACTCTTATAAAGTACTTTTAATTGGGGCCTTGCTTCCAGTTTCAGAGGTTTTAGTCCTTTATCATCACGGCAGAGAGCATGATGGCATGTAGGCAGTCACTGGAGCAGTAGCTAAGAGCTGCCTTCTGATTCTTAGGGCAGAAAGAGGGAGAGTGACATTGGGCTTGGCTTGGCCTTTGAAACCTCAGAGCCCACTCTAGTGACACACTTTCTCCAGCAGGGCCACACCTACAAATCCTTCTAATCTGTCTATTCCTCTAGCAAGGCCACACCTCCTAATTTTTCTAATCCCTGGTGACTAAGCATTCAGAGCAGGCAGTTTCCCCTTCCCCAGGCCCCATAGAAATCAGTTATTAACACCAATACTAAAGTGATAGGGAATTTTAAAATATTTTATTATTTTTATTTAAGTAGGTGTTCTACCTGCATGCATGTCTGTGCATCATGTGCCTATGGAGCCAGAAGAGGGAGTCAGATCCAATCCCTGGGACTGGAATTATAGATGGTTGCAAGCCACCATGTGGGTGCTGAGGATTGAATCCAGGTGCTCTGGAAGAGCAGCAAATGCTCTTAGCCACTGAGCCAGCTCTCCACCCTCTAGGGAATTCTTGATTACTTTTTAGACTGTTTTTTTTTTTACAACCTCTTTTCATTTATGACAGACATTTAATTTTTTAAAAATTATTTATTTTGTGTGTATTGCTGGAGTGGGAAGGAAGCATGTATTATTGTGTAAGTGTGGAAATCAGAGGAAAGTGTGGAAATTGGTTTTCTCCTTCTACTATGTGGGTTCTAGGGATTGAATTCATGTTGTCAGCCTTGGTAGCAAGCACCTTTACTTGCTTTACATTTCACCAGCCTGATCAGCGACATTTTTATTCATCACTGTAGAGCTAAAATGCTGAGGATGGTGCTCAATGGTATGGTGAGACTGTGTGTGATTACCCAAGAGCACATTTTTAAAAACTCTCAGCAGGGTGGAGGTGCTCTGCTGTAGGGGGTCAGGATGTGGATGTATCTAGGGAGGAAAGATAGAAGATGGCACTCCACACCCCAAGCCTTGTGGAGTCTTGAGTAGAGAAGAGAGTTATGCTTTTCTAAAACTCCCTTGTCTCCTTTTCCAAATGTGCCTTGTCTCCCGGACACAGCTGTACACAGAACTGATGCAGGAGCAGGGCCCTCAGGGCCTGACAGAACTGCCAGCCTTTATCGAGATGAGGGACTTGGCCAGGAGATTTGCCTTGAGCTTTGGACCCCAGCAGCTTCACAACCGAGACCTTGTGGTCATGCTGCACAAGTGAGGAAGGGAGTGCTGGTTGGAGGTCGGGCACAGGGAGGGCAGGGAGTCAGGTCTTGGTGGGAAGGGTAACCATGTGCAGAAGCGGCAGGCAGGCTGGTGGTAAGTGTGGCTTGGGCAGCAAGGATCTGGGGATGATAAACTTGGCTAGGATAGTTCAGACTCTAACTGAAATAATTCTACCCAATCAAGGGAAGGCATCAAGTTCTCATTGTCTGAGCTTCCTCCTGCTGGCTCTTCTAGTGAGCCACCAAATCTTGCATTCCTGGAGCTCCTTTCAGAGTTCTCCCCCCGCCTCTTCCATCAGGACAAGAAACTACTGTAAGTTAGTGGTTGAGTAGAGATGTGGATTTACAGAAGAGTCTGGGGAGGGCTCGGTTCATTTATTCTCTGTCCCATCCCTTCTTAGACTATCCTATCTGGAAAAATGTCTGCAGCGTGTCTCCAAGGCACCTAGCCATCCCTGGCGTCCAGTTACCACCTACTACCACTCCCTCAACCCTGTAGAGAACACAGCAGAGGCCAGTCCTCAGGGACCCCCCTACTCCAAGAAGAGGCGTGTTGAAGGTAAGGGGTCAGGGTTGGGGTAGGTAGGCATCAGTGTGTTCAGCACCACATCCTAGTTGCCTTTGCCTGATAATAGGAGATAGGTCTTAGTCTCCTTCAAACTTACACTTTGTGGAATATTTCATCAGGCACCAGCTGTCATTCATTTTCTTCATCATTTGGCTAGCCAGTTTAAAATACCAAACTTGAGAAAATGACATAGAAACTAATGATAAGCCAAAGATTGAACCAAGCAGTCTTTTCAGGGTGCACGTCCTTGACAGCAAACAATGTACTGATTTCTCAAGTAACTTTCAGATCACCACTTGTCTTAAAATTTACCTAATGTCTTTAATTTGCTTTTTTTTTTACATTGTCTCAAGTAATAGTCTAATCAATTTGATATGCTAATGTGCATTTGCTAACATGCACTTTAAAATGTAATTTTAAAACCATTAACAGTTTTAATGAGATGTAATTTACATACCATAAAAGTCAAAGTCATCTTTTTAATGTGTGTGCTTCGATGGCTTTTGTTTCCTCAACAAGTTTTAATTGTGTGTTTGTGTGTATGTGTGAGGGTTTGCGAGGGAGAGAGAGAGAATATGTATGTGAGCACAGGTACCTGTGAACTGAACTTGGATCTTTTGAAAGAGCAGTACATGCTCTTAACTGCTGGCCGTCTCTTCACTGCTTTTTTTTTTTAATTTTAGTTCTTAATAGTTCTTAATCTTTTTTGTTTGTTTACATTCTTGTTGTTGTTTTGTTTTTAGAGACAGCGTTTCTCTTTGTAGTCCTAGCTGTCCTGGAACTCACTCTGTAGACCAGGCTGGCCTCAAACACACATCGATCTGCCTGCCTCTGCCTCCCTAGTGCTAGAATTAAAGGCATGCACCACCACTGCCCAGCAGGTTTTTAATCTTTAAGTGAGAATTTAACATTTTAATTTTGTTTATTAGTCTTAAAATTATTTTAAGTGTATGATGCATATAGCATGCACTTGCCATGTTGTTCATGAGGAGCTTAGAGGACAGCGCTGTAGAGTTGATTCTCTCCTTTACATGGATTCTGAGTATTAAACTCAGATTCGGAGCTTTTCCAGCTAGCAGTTTTATGTGCTGAGCTATCTCACCATCCCACCAGTCTTTAATGTTCAGACACTCTGATTGCTTCAAAAGAAACTATATCCCTGTTACATCAGGGTTCTCCCTGTCCTCCCAACCCTGGGCACTGTCACTGATCTTCCTCTCTCTGAATTTGCCTCTGGCAGACACTTTGTCTAAACAGCACCAATACATTATGTGGCTTTGTGTGTGTCTATTCTTTTGCTTAGTCTGTTTTGGGGGTTCTTTCTATAGCAGAATAGTAGTCCATTGTATGGCCATTACCTATTTTACTCGCTCATGAGTTGATTAACATTTGAGTTGTTGCCGTTGTTGGTGTGCATAGTGCTGCTAAAATTCTTATGCAAGGTTTTGAGTAGATATATCTTGAGATATACTTAGGAATGGAATTTCTGGCTTGGTCATATTGAAGCTCTACATTTAATTTTATAATGAGATACCAAACTATTCTCCAAAGTGCCTGCATCATTTTACATTCCTACCAGCAATGATTAAGTGCTTCCTTTCTATATATTTGTGACTGTCTGGGTTTCTTCTTTGTATTTTCTCTCTCTCGCATTGACTGAATTGGTATCTCATTCTCTTCAGTTTGTATTTCCCTACTGACTAACAAAATTGAGTTTTCTACTTCATGTTCTTATGGACAGTTGATATTTGGTGAATTGCTTATTAAAACTTTTGTCCATTTTTTTTTGTTTTTTTGAGACAGGGTTTCTCTGTGTAGTTTTGATTCCTGTCCTGGATCTCGCTCTGAAGACCAGGCTGGCCTTGAACTCACAGAGATCTGCTTGGCTCTGCCTCCTCAGTACTGGGATTAAAGGCGTGCGCCACCACTGCCCAGTTGTTCATTTCTTTTTGAGACAAAGTCTTGTGTAGCCTAGGCAGGACTTGAACTCTGTATAGTGGAAGATGACCTTGAACTTCGGATTTCTCTGCCTCCACTTCCCAAGTATTGGGGTGACTGACAAACTTTAGCCACCATGCCCACCTTCTTTTTTTCATTTAAAATTGTGTTGTCTTTTTATTGATAAGTTGTTGAGGGTTCTTTACACATTCTAGATAGATCTTTATTAGGTAAAGAGATACAAATATGTTCTCAAATTCTTTGAGTTACCTTTTTATGCTGTTGGTATTCTTCTGTTATTTTTATTTTTGTTGATATCCCTAATTAGGGTGAATTCTGCCTTACCTATTTTTTAATTTTTTAAACTTGAATATGTAATGTCTAATTGGCTAATTAACCATTGACTAATCCAAGTTCATAAAGATTTACTTATGACTACAGCCCCTGCTGTCTATAATCCTTCATATAGGTTAACGGCAGCAACTTTTGGGTTGTTGGTTTCTGTGTATATACATGGTTACAGAGGAGGAAGAGAGTTAATAGAGGAATGCTCACCCCTGGCAAATGGTGACATTTGACTGATGTTTTAAAATCACCACCTGGATTTTCTCGGGGAAAGAGGGCCTCCGGTGTGGACACCTCAGTTGGTGGCATCTTCCTTCTTTGCCCTCTGTAGTTGGCAGAGAAAGTACTCAGCCTTCTTGGTAAGATGACATTAGCATTGCCATCCTTCCATCTTCTGACTTCAGAAAACCCTGTCTCCCTAGCCCTTATGCATCCACTCCAGCCTCTGGTCCCCAAATGGTTATCAATCTAGAATGGATAGGATTTCAGAATTCTAACAGACAACTTAAATTTGGGGAATCAGTCATCTCCCACATTTGTCATCAAATGTTTATGCCCTCTGTGAAGTGGATATTTTTCTCTATCTGCCTTATTTCCTAGATAAGTTGTATTTGCTAGGACAGGAGCTATACATAATGACACAGCATCATACTGTACACACAGGTACATTGTTACGTAGGGCTCTGCTCATTGAGGTGGAATAAAATAAGGCCACATAGATTTTCCATTCTTTTGTGCTTAACTTTCCCTAAAGAAACTCTGGAGAGGTTTTGTAAAAGCAACCCATGTCAGGTTCCTGATCTATTTAATATGCGTATCTGCTTCTTTGTAGGTCCCTGTAGGCCTCAAGGAAAAGAGCCTTCATCCCAGGAAGAAAGCCTTCAACTGAACAGTAGCCCCCCAACACCTACCCTTACCTCCACAGCACTGAAGAGGAGGCAGTCCCTGAGGCCAGTGGGCCAGAGGCAAAAAGGTAGACCAGGACCAGGACCAGAGATGATCAGCAGGTGAAGCCAGAGGATGGTGTTTCTGTTCTTCCTCCCACAGCACACTCTGATGTTGGTGTGCTTTTCTGTTGCTTTTATGGCTGCAAAATGTCTCCCTCATACTCCATGCTGTTCTCTACTCTTTTTACCCTTTGCTTTTTCTCAAACCGTGTCACTGACCCTGCTTTATTCTCAACAGTCAGCAACTCTCAGGCACCCAGAGGTTGAAGATGTCAAGTGCACAGTCTCTCCAGATTCATTGTGATCCTTCAGGCTCTGGTTTGGGCAAGCAACTAACCCGGTGAGGTTCCCCTTTCCCATGCTGCTGTCACCCACTCTGACTCCTTACCTGAGCCGGTGCTCCTTGAATTGTCTTGGTCCCAGAACACTCCTTCCAGCATACATAACATGCTTCTCCAGTGTGTAAAGGGCTACTCCACCTGCTGCTGGAAGTCCGTCTTTCCCTGTGCCTATGAGAATCTACTCAGGGTCTGGAAGGAGGACCATCTGAAAACCTGTACTCTTTGCCACTACCACAGACTCAGCCTTATGGAAGAGGATGGGGAAGAAGAGCTAGGACTTCTGGATGAATCATGTGAAGAATGGCAAGGTGGAGACAAGGTATGGACCCAGTAGTACCTTTCCCCAAAACTAGAGTCTGAGATGCCTGTTACCAGTTCATGATGCCCTTGTTTCTGAAAGCTGCTAAAGGTTGTTGGAAAGAATCATAGACTGAAGGAGGAAAAGTTGCAGACTTTGTTTAGACTTTACTTTTATTAAATAAGGAGCCCAGGAATGATCAGAGGTCATTCACATGTACAATCTCAGTACTTGGGAGACTGAGACAAGAGGATTACTATGAGTTTAAGGCTACCCTGGCCTACAAAGTGGCTTCCAGGCCAGCCTTGGCTATCCAGTGAGACCCTGCTTTGAAAACTGAAAGGAAAAGAAGTTAGAAATTTAAAGGCCAGCAAGATCATTTAGCAGATAAAGGTCCCTCTTTCTAAGCCTGAAGGCTTGAGTTCAGTTCCCAGAACCCATGTGGTAGAAGGAGAGAAATTATTTCCAAAACTTGTCCCCTGACCTACACACAGTGCACACACTCATTCTTTCTCTTTTTCTCTAACACACACACACACACACACACACACACACACACATACACACACACACACACACACACACACACATAAATAAATAAATCTTTAAAAAAAAGGAAAAAGGATTGGAGCAGCACATTCCTTCACAGTTCCAAGATCAATATTGTTGCCACTGAATTTCCCAACAATTGAAAGAGTTCTTAGAGCCAGAGACAGAAGTCCCTCAGCCCATTCCAGCCACACCATTCCTTTTCTCCTCTTTCCTAACAAGGCTGCCTATCCTTGTCCCCCACTCACCCTTTTTCTTCCCTGCTACCTGATTTCTTAGATGGTTGATCAGATCTAGTAAGCAAAACAGAGAGCTTGAAGTGAGGTCAACTGAATGTGAGTCCTTAGTTTCATACCAGGCTAGCTGTTGCTTGTCTCAGTCTCATTTCTCCATCCTTACAATGGAGCGTTTATACATAGTGTAGAGTACAAAGCGTTAGTTCAGAGAAGCATGGACTATAGGCTTATAAATGGCAGACATTTATTCCTTCAGCTCTGAAAGCTAAAAGTCTTGAGTTCTGGTAAGCACAGATGGTTTCTGGTAAGGGCCCAGTGCTAATTGCAGGCTGTCTCACACGCAGGCAAGAACAAGCTAACACTGGCCTCTTGTAAAGGCACTAACATAGTTGTAAGGGCTACACCCTCTCACCTAAACACATTCCGAAGGTCACCTCTTACTTCTATGGGCCCCAAGGGTTAGGATCTCAACATACATATCAGGTAGGTCTTGCAGGAGGTAGAGGGGAGGACAGCCTGCAGACAATCAATCAGCACTGAGCTAATACTGTGTGCTGTTATTTTAGTGTCTTCTCTGGGGAGGGGAGAAAATGGATAGAATAGGAGAATGGAGGCTTTGTGCTCAGAGGAAAATCCAAATAGCACCTTGAACTTCTGTTCAAATAACCTGTGTAGAGTTCTAGGACAATCCTACTCTCTAGCTCCAGAGCTGAATGTATGTAAAGGGTTCAGCCAGCAGGCCATAGGAGGAGTCAGTTCTGTGATTTATCCCTTGAGACGTCAGAAGGAACCATGTTTCTGTTGGTGGGTATAATTTAGAACAGCCTTTCTAATTTTTTACTCCATTTGCTTCAGCTGCTTCATAGCCCTTCTTCTTCCAGTGAGCGTGGGCTGGACCTATTAGATACTACAGAGCTGAACATGGAGGTGAGCATTCCAGAGCTGGTGTGTGTGTCCTTGGAAGTGATGGTGGCCAGATGTCTATCCATCCAATAGATGGAAGACCAGAACCTGTGGGCAGCTCTATGTGGTCTTCAGGAGCCCTTGTGGGGAACTAGAATGGCTACCCTAGAACACACAGCCTTCAGTTTACTATTTGGTCTCTTCTCACCATGACTCCATGTCTTATATTCTCTTTCTCGTTGCAGGATTTCTGATGGAACTTTGGGCCCCTCCCCTTCTCTACTTCCCACTTAAAGGCCATGAGTGAGCAGAAGGAAGGAGTAAAATGAAGTATTCCTTTGGGCCCCAGCCAAGTACTTTAAAGGAAAGAGAAATGGCCTTGTTTTTCAAACCTCCATTTCTTTCTGAAGTGGGGGCTATATAGAGAAGCCATGAGCCCTGTCATCCTTAATGCACCAGAGCTCTATGCTTCTGCCTGTTTGCAGGGTTGGAGTTGGGTAGGGGGCTTCACCTCAGCACTGGAGTTTAGTAAACCTTTGGTTTTCTATTTGGTACTTCTTCCCAGAAACACTGCCAAGCTCTAAATACAATCTCTCAATAAACATGTTCAAAGCTGTTTCCAGGTATGGCTTGAGATTGTAATGCTGATGAAGATTGGGTTCTTTGGCTTCCTGACACTGTGGCCCCCTATTTAAGTGCCTCCATACCCTCAGATATTTTGTGTATAGGTTCTCAAGGATGGATGGATCAGTCAGTAAGATGAGTGGGACAGATGGCTGAGGAGAGTTTAGCTATCTCTGAGCAGTTACACTAATGATGACAGTGTAGGCCAAAGTGAGAGAAGATGGCACTGATAGGCAGGTGAGGTAGAGACTTCTTGAAACGTGTTGTTTCACCCACCTAGCCCAGGGTGCACAGGATGGTGGATATCACCCATTAGTTCTTTTCAGGTAGTTTCATACCCTTATCCCAAAGATGTGGACGTTTTCGTACAATAGCTGAGAGTACAAAGATACAGAATTTAATGTACATATCCAAACCCAAATCTAAGAATTGGAGGAAAGCGACTCTGTCCATCCTTCCCTAGCCAGTTCCTCACAAGTCCTGTTGCAGTGTTCTCTAACACATATCTCTGGTCTGTTCTCTACTGTATCTCTCACCTGATTGTCACAAAATTGCCTCAGGAGACTTGCCTTCTGGAAGCTGGACTTGTTATTCTTGCTCTGCCTCTTGCAGCAGCTTAGGACCTCTGTCGCAACACATGAAGACAGCTGGGTGGCTTTCTGATGTCACTACTTTCTTCCATGGCTTAAGGAGCTCTTTACCCTTTCTGGGGAGATATGTAGGATTCAAGGTCTTTTCCTGCCCTTTATTATGGGTCCTTTCTGAGCACCACCATCCAGCCAATGGTTGTGTGGAAAGAACAGTCTTCCAGTGATCAGGCCACCCAGCCCAAACCATTTCTACCGTCCCCACCTTACTGGTCTTGCCCCACTTCCTCTCTCCTTCCAGGTAAAAAAGGTTAGAGTATGAGTCTCTTTGGAAGGCAGCCTAGTGCAGCAGATTGAGGGATCCATGGAATCTGGAAACAGTTGGAACACTGAGGTATAAATATACAAGAAATAAGAGGTAGAGGAATCCAGGAGGGGCAAGATTCCTGAAGGTATTTAAATACCAGCCAAGTTAAGGAAATTTCAGAAGTGAAAAGGGGAACCTAGAGATTTTGTAAATTTGGACAGCCAGATAACAATGTGGTAGGTTGATCCCTGGCCTCAGAATCTGCAGATGTATTAGACCTCCTACCCCTCAGATCCCAATTCTTTGACACTGTGTCGGGAGATTGGGTCATCTTCCCTTTAAATATGGGCTCTCAGGGTTTCTATGGCTGTGAAGCAATAGGGGCGAGGAAAGGGTTTGTTTGGCTTACACTTACATTACTACTAATTGTAGTCCATTGAATGAAGTCAGAAAAGGAACTCAAATAGAGCCAGAACCCAGATGCAGGAGCTGATGCAGAGGCCACAGAATGGGGCTGCTTACTGGCTCACTCATCATGGCTTGCTCAGTTTGTTTTCTTAGAGAACCCAGGACCAACAGCCCAGGCATGGTACCACCCACAGGGCCCTTCCCCTCACCAATCACTAAGAAAATGCCCTACAGCTGGATCTCATGGAGGCATTTTCTCTCAGCTGAGGTTCCCTCCCTTCAGATGACTAGCTTGTGTCAAGTTGACATAAACTAGGCAGGATGGTCTCTTGAGTGCTCAGCTCATAGAGTATGGTAGAAGTGATGCTAGACCAGTTTATGAGCTTAGACTTTAAGGAAACTGCCTGATGCTGCTTCCGGTTTCTTAAGCTGTGCTGTTCTGGAGTCAGGTACCCCACTGTGAGAAAGCCTAAGCAGCTACATGGCTAGGCTGTGTGCAGTTGCTCCAGCCAACAACTCTCAGAGGTTCCAGCCAGCATCCAGCAACATTCAGCACTTGGTGCCAAATGTGGTTGGTCTAGACAGGAATTAGATGATCCCAGCCTTCATCTTGTAAGTTTCCCCAGAGAAGGTCCAGGCACTGGGAATCTGATATGAGCCATCCATTCTGTACTCATGTTTTCCAAAGCCCTGACCTTGAGTATAAGAGGTGGTTTTTTTACACTACAGAATCTAGAGAGGTTTGTTGTGTTGCTATGGTGACTAGGACAGATCCTTAGAGACACATCAGTCCAAAAGTTTGGGGATCTTCTTGTCATTTAATTTTTTTCCCTTAAAAACCAGGTGTGGTGGTGCATAATTGTAATCCCAGCACTGGGGAGGCTGAGTCAGCAGACCACAAGGTTGAGGTCAGCCTGGGCTATATGGATGTTTTTGAAACACATTGTTTAAAAAATAACTACTTGTAAACGATGTAATTATAATTTTTAAAAATAAAGTTATAATAAAAAGTTGTAAGCTATATCAATATTTCTTCATTTTGTACATTATACACATTTAAATATAATATGTGAGTTAAGTGTATCTGTATCAGTTACTTTTTCTGTTGCTGTGATAAAATACCATAAGCAAGAACAACTTTTATAAGGCAGAGATTATTTTGATTACTGTTTCAGAAGGGTAAGAGTCCATTATGGCAGGAAGGTATGGCTCCTAGAATTAAGCAGAGAGTGACTAGAAGAGACAAGACTTTTAATTTTCAAAGTCTGCTTCCAGTGAGAAGCACCTCCCCCTCCCAAACAGTGCCCCCAACCAGGACCAAGTGTTCAGATCCTTGGGCATTTCTACAGTGGGGCATTCTCATTCAAACCAATACAGTATTTAAATAGTTTAAGTAGAGGTACAAAATACCTTTTGATGTTAAAAAAAAAAATTAGAACAAAGAGAAACTCATAAAGAAAGATGCGCATTTTCTGAAGTTCCTATTGAAAGCTGTCCTGATATATATTTGTAACAATCTCTTTAACTTCAAAAATGGTTTCAACATTAATCCAAATGGCAGAGGTGGCTCTTTGCATTTAGTGCTTCAATAGAGAAGTTCAATGCCACTCCTCCCTAAAAATGTCTCCGTTTTAGGAAACATCAGGAAGTTATTTCCAAGGACAGATAGCATCCTCCTTACAGGACAGGTTAGAACTGCCTTCCATTGTGAATGGCAATCTGGGAGACACTCTGGGAGCTAAAAACCCTGCAGCACCTCAGCCACTCCATGGTGATGCCTTGTGGGTTTGGCTTGCTTTCCTTCCCTCAGAAATGCTGGTCTTGTTAGAAATGGTTTGTGGCATATGAGTCCCACAGCACCAGAAAAACAGCTTTGTAGTTGGTGCATGCACACAAGCATATAGTGTGTGTGTGTGTGTGTGTGTGTGTGTGTGTGTGTGTGTGTGCATGTTTCTGTGTGCATTCGCTTGCATGTGGAGGCCAAATGTTGATATCTGGCATCTTCAGTCACTGTCCACATCTTTTGAGACAGGGTCTCTCACTGAACCTGGAGCTCACCAATTTTTCTAGACTGGCTGGCCAGCCCCTGGGAATTCTCCTATCTCCTCCCCAGCACTAGTATTTTATGCACCTGACTAGCTTTTTTTCCCCACATACATGGTTGCTAGAAATTGAACTTGAATCTGCCTACATAAATGGCAGGCTTAACCAACTAAGCTATCTTTCCACCCCTTGTATTTTTTTTTTTAATTTTTATTTTAGGCATATGGCTGTTTTGCCTGCATGTATGCCTATATGCATGTATGCACCAACCAGGTGTGACAAGTGCTCAAAGAGGCCAGAAAGGGCATTAGATCCCCTAGACCTGAAGATACAATTGTAAACTGCCAAGTGGGTGCTGGGGACTCAAACGCAGGAGCTCTGGAAAAGCAGCCAGTGCTCTTAACCACTGAGCCATCTTTTCAACTCCAAGATTTATTTTTATGTGTGTCTGTGTTATGCCTTTGTGCAGGTGCCCACAGAGGCCTGAAGAGGGCATTGGATGCCTTGGAGTACAGGTGGTTGTGAGCACTTGAAATGGATGTTGAGAAGTAAACATGCCGAGAACTACGCTCAGGTCCTCTATAAGAGCAACCAATGCTCTTAACCACTGAGCCACCTCTCTAGCACACTCTCTGTTTTAATTTAAAACTTAGAAATGATCTTCATTTCTCCTGAACATCTGGGGATGCCTTAGATACCACTGGGTTTTCACTACCCATCTCCATCAGCTCAGCTCTGTTCATGTTGGCTAAAGCATAGTGGGAATCTGTCAGCAATACTAGGCCAGGCTGGGCCCTGAGATGAGGCCAGCTTAAGAGGCAGATATGGAGGCTTTTCATGGGTTTATAAGTAACGCTAAACAATCCTTTTTAGGGTTCTAACTATTCTGTTAGCTCAATATTGAAAAATTGTTTTAAAATCATTTAATATTCAGAAAGGCCTGTATATGGTGGTGGTGGGGGGAGCAGTGAGTGTTACTAGGGCCTGTCCCATTCCAGGCATTTTTTTTCTGCCACTGGGCTATGCTCCCAACCCCTTTTATTTCATTTTTGTTGAGAGAGAGTCTTGCACTATATATCCCAGGCTGGCCTTGAACTACAGTCCTTTTGCCTCTTCTTGGATGCTATGATTACAAGTTTTCATCATCATTTCTGGAAGCTCCCTACCCCACCCCATAATACAAAGTGCATTTAGTTCTCCTGTAAGAGCCTCCAGTGTCTGAATAGTTCATTCTCTTTAAAATCCAAGGCACTCTTTTAACTGTAAACATGTATAAAATCAAGAAACAATTTATTGGCTAGAGGGACCTGAGTTTGGGTCCATAGAACCCAGTAAATTGGGATGTGGTAGTGTGCATCTGTAATCCCAGAGTTTTAAGGCAAGCTGGAAGACAGAGACAAGGGTTCCCTAGAAGCTCATGGGGCCAGCTAGCCTGGCATACACAGGGACAAACAAACAAACAGACATCAAACAAGCTGAGGGGTGAGGACAGGCACTCAAGACTGTCTTCTGACCCCCACATGCACACTCACACTCATAGACACAATGATTTTAAAACATACATAGCACAGAGTAAATATTTGCATTCTAAATGAATGAATGCAGGTATAGCAGAGAGGGGGGAGGGAGGGAGGGAGAGAG